GGGTGACCTGGGCCAGGCAGAGGGCCGCCCGGCGTAACAGCCGTAAAAATATGGAATCGAAAGGACGAGAAGATCAAAGAAGAGAAGACATTTTTACGACATGAATAATTCGAAAAATATTTTTTACTTGATGAAAGTGACGTACAATTTCCCAAGCCGGATTAAGGAAAGTCGACACGCGTTTACTCGAAGTCGAATTCGACTTAAACAGAATATTCGTAGTCCGTGAGACGAGAGTGGCTCCACTCGCAATTCCGAGCGCAAATTCAACCGCTTTGTCATTTTCGATTTCCTGAAATCTTTATGATGTATATAAATATCGTGTACATCCCTCAGGCTGCTGGATGGTGCACGATTTTCGGTGGATTTCGATTGACGCGAAGATTGATCGCAAAATGTCAAGGATTTTAACTGCCAAAGATATTCAGTTCGGTGGAAATGCCCAATTTATTGGAATATAATCTATCTGACTGACATGACCAGCTTTTTTAACCGCTTTGAATATTCCGCGGAAATAGACTTCTTACGAGTCTGTGCCGAGCGTAAAAAATATCGATTCGTGATCCGCTTAGTGAATATAGAAAGTTTTTGAATTGAAAATATATGTTCGCCTTTTAAAACAAAACATTAAAAATTTCTTGGTTGATTGGAAAAGTGCTCCGAAGAAACTGTAGCGGCACATGTGTTAGAGGTCAATTCAAATCATGTTGTTTTGCCTCGGAATATCAAGATCGTTAGGATACACGTAATGTAAGAATAAATAAACTCCGAGCAAAACAATGTCGCCGCTACGTGCAACCGTCGAACAAAGACGAATTTGAATATTCCGACTCTCCCCCGAGTAGTGTAAATAAGCGGAAGCGATCGCAAAGAACTGATTTACAGTCAGTTGTCGATTAATTATCAACCAGTTATCAACGAATTATCAGTGATCTAATTAACGAGTCTTTAACGATCCTATTTTACGACTTATACATTGTCTTAGCGAATCGGTTAGTACGAGCGTCTTTGCGAACATTATCTGTATACTAATTTATCATTTTAAATATATTCGACGATTTAAACAACGAGCAATCTCGTCTATTAAACCTCACCGGCCATCCTCTACACACAAACCTCTAGAAATTGGTAACCCCGACGTGAATTGTATACGACTAAACAACCTCTACATTGGTGACACCGGCATGCGAAAAATGAACATTCATAATGACCAGTAGCAACAGACAACTTCGTACAGAATTCGCAAACTCAAACGGTTCAAGACTGCACTAAGAGTTTGAGAACGAAGAAATGGGCGATAGAACGCCGTCTCAATTCTATACAGATCTGAGGAAGCGTGCCGCCTCGTCAGTCTTCGACGACTTAGTGCTGGCGACCTAGGAGAAGCACTTCCCGGCGGATACTTAATACGTACTAACGGCGCTTTTCATCGGCGCGGACTTCTTAAGCCACTATGGGTTATTGGTCGACCCACGAAATCGACACCACAGCGATGAAACCAGCAACCTAGCTACAACACGATACACGGACACAACAGAGGCTGTATCGAGCAAAACAATCGACGTATCACCGACTTCTCGCTGAATTGTCGGACGCGACTCGTCCACTCGTTTGGTAGATACGACACAGTGCGGTACTTTATATCGAAAACTACGCCAAGCTGTATGTATGTATGTACAGCAAGAAAACTACAGGCAGGTTAGGCATCGTAAATTGTCGGATCAGGTGTATCGGTAATTTTTTTTTTAAATAACGACGACCCAAGAAAAACACTGTAAATACTTTCAAAGCATAACTTGGTGAAAAACGTTATCACTGGTAGGGGGGTAATGTAGCGACACAGGTGTCAAAGGACGACGCGAGTCGAGAGCGACTCGTGCTGTTGTTTTGCCTCAGGACATTGACTCTGCCTTGACGCAGAAATGTAATAATAAACAAACTTCGGACAAATCAATGTCGCCGCTACAAAACCATAAATCGGAATAACACGTTTGACAGTGG